TGCAGTTTATGACCCACGACTGATAAATCCCGATCTCCTCTGAGCTTAAACCAAAAGCAGCTGGTCTGATGAGCTCAGGGCCCAAGAAGGAACATATGGTTGAAGTAGGTCAGAGAGATCTGAAGGTGCAAGGCCATTTAGGTACTTAAATGTTGACAGGAGAATTTTAAAATCAATTCTGATATGTACTGGGAGCCAGTGAAGCGAAGACAAAACTGGTGAAATGTGATCAAACCTACGAGTTCCTATTAAAAGCCGAGCTGCAGCATTTTATTTTATTTTTTTATGAGCTGGAGACGTGAAAGAAAAGCCTGACTGACCCCAACATAAAGAATGTTACAGTAGTCCAGCCAGGTAGTGATAAAAGCATGGGGCTCATTTTTCAAGGTCAGATCTGGTCAACACTGATTAAACTTATCTATCTGCCTTAACTGGAAGAAGCTTTTCTGTAGAACAGAGTTAATCTGTTTAATGAACTTAAATCAGAGTCTAAAACCATCCTGAGATTTGTAACAGACTGCTTAAGATATGGATGAAGAGAGTCCAGGTTTACAGGATCAGAGACAGCAGTAGAGACTGGGCTAAACATAATGCTGTTTAACAATGTGCAACAAATCCAGAAAAATGAAAAATCTACAGACCAGTTTTACGTTGCCAACTTGGTATACTGTACTTCTGATGGGGATGTGTTGCACAATCCTTTTATTAAGCTTATTGAAGGCCAACTGCACCTTAGTGGTACAGCAAGAATACAGCATCCAGGTAGATTCATGTTTAAACATCGTATCTAATTCTTGCACTGAAAACCACACAGGTGAATTAAAATAAAACTCTGGTCAACTGGGCTGACATTTTACTGAAGATTAGAATCCTTGTCTTTTTTCTTTCTTTTTTTTTTTTTTAACCAGATCAGATGATTAAATGAAAATGAGTAAAAGCTGTCATGAAGTTTACTGTTAAACTGCTGACATTTAATCAGTTTAAAAAGGGTCACCGGTTCAAATCCCCCTGCTGACTGAAACATCAAAATGTGTGTGGAAAAGGTGAAACACTCTCATTTCCTCCTCCCTGGGCCCTTGAGCAAACCCCCCCCCCCTCGCCCCCACACACACTCACAAAGAAATCCTGTCACTTTGAACTAAACATAACTGGCTAAGCAGGAAACCTCTCATTAAAGTACACCCCTCAGGTTTGTCTAATAATTGGTTTTACATTATTAACAGCTTCCCAGCATGTCCTCTTAGTGTCACCAACAGACCAAAACCTGCAGAAGCATGTTCACCATCTATGAAGTTGGCATGGGGCCGTGCACATTTCCACAGTCAGTTGACTTATTTGTGTCTGCAAGATTTGTACATGGGGGCCCTGGTCTATGTCATTTGTTTAAAAGCCAGTATCTGTTTGACTCACCCACCAACAGTAAAATTTCTCAAAACAACTAATTTTGAAAAAAAAAAAATGAAAAAATTATCTCGGTGCATGAGTTATATACAGTGATAATTAAGATGATCAACTTTTATTTACTTCATTTATTTTCACCAATGCT